GGTGTGGGGTGTGGGGTGTGGGAGGGTGTGGGGTGTGGGTGTAGGATGGTGTGGGGTGTGGGTGTGGGTGTGGGGTGTGGGTGTGAGTGTGGATGTGGATATAGTGGAAGTGAATACACAAACCCACACCCACACCCACCTACACCCACACCCACACTCACACCCACACCCACCTACACCCACACCCACACTCACACCCACACCCACACCCACACCCACACCCACCCACACCCACACGCACCCTTTTTGTGAGAAACAATGGAAAACACTAAAATGATAAGTACTTTAATCTTAAAATCAATAAAGTCTACAACGAATCTTGCTCGCATATTGTATCTAAGTGCAATAATATCTATTGTATTCATTTGATTATTCTTTCTTATCATATTAATATTACATTGGAAAATCGCCAGACAGGAGAAGTGCTGTGACATGTTGTTAGTCAATAGAATTTGTCATCTATTTGATTGAGTGATGAAACAAAATAACGTACCATATGGCTGTCACAACGTCAATGTGGAAGCAATATATTGCTCTAACTTTCTCAATCGTTAAAACTAGAGAAAAATGCACACACGGCATCAAGGAACGATGACCGAATTTACTTCTGACTATATTCTTAACTGCGGAGAAGACAATCATCATACAGCTAGACACTATCGTCGTATATGCGGTGGTTTAACAATAAAGGATTGTTTCCAATTATTCGGTTCGTTTCTCCTCCCACTTCTTCTTACAATATTCACGGTGGTCATCACCTTCGAACAACGAAATGAATCGAAGATTCAACGTTTAGAAGATCGTATTTCGGCTCGTGAGCAACGTGAGCAAGATTTGAATGTTTCCATATTGCAACGAGAGACCGACAAAGCGATAGCGGAAGAACGACGCATCGCAGATAATCTAAATGCTGAACGGCAACGAAATATGTCTCTCGAGCAACGGCAACATGAACTCATTATAGAGCAACAGCGATACGACAAACAACAGCAACAGCGCGTAGAAGATGCGAAATTATTGGCCGAACAGCGTTTTCAAGATCTACAACTAGCTGAAGAGAAGCGCATTGCCGACAATCTTAATGCAAAAGAGCAGCGTGACAATGATCGACTGATTGCCGAACGCAAGCAATTGGCCGATGATCTCAATGCAGAAAAGGAACGAAATATTTCACGTGAAATTGAAGAATATCGATATGAACAGGCAAAAAACAAGGATCTGGATACGATGCTTCTCTCACACATCAATGACATGGGCACTCTTCTTGAAAACTACAATGGTTCTCTAACAACTAATTCAACGATTGCCGCTCTCGCTCGAGCTAAAACACTTCATGTCATCCGTTCTATTGGACCTGAGCGGTCAGCACGATTGCTTCAATTTTTATTCGATGCTGGTCAACTTACAAGCGCCCAACAGAAACCACTAGATCTATCCGGTGCAATACTTAATCACATTGATCTTAGCGCGTCTAATGACATTATTTCAATGAGAAATGTAACGTTTGTCGGCGTCCATATGAATGGCGCAACATTTGCTGGGCAGGATCTTTCGAATTGGAATTTTACTCGAGCTTCACTTAATAGCGCTAATTTTACACGAACTAATTGCAAAGGGACAATATTCGACGACTCGTCGATGGTGCTAACTGATTTTTCACATGCTTTAATGGACGGTGCTTCATTTCGACGTTCACAACTAGCTGATTCTTCTTTTGTAAATTCAAGTGGAGAACGGTGTATTTTTGACTCTGCCACGCTGCGAAACTCAACATTTTATCAAGCTAAAATGAGTTTCTCTAACTTTCATAACGTCGACTTAACAAAAGCCAATCTTGAAGAAGCTTATTTGTCTGGGAGTACGCTAGCATTTGCTACTCTTGTTGATACTCAAATGAACGGCATCTATGTTCTCTTTGCCAATTTGTCATATGCTAACATGTCCGGGGCTATATGTTTGAAAGATAAATGTTATTTACAGGATGCTCTCTCACTTTTGAATGCAATTCTACCGAATGGAACAAACGGAACTCACTATTATAAACCTAGGTCTCTTCTTCAAAACGCTTATGCCACGTGTAATGCTGAAGAGCACAAAAATGATCATCTTGCTGGTTGGTGGATGCTCGGCGATCCTATATCTACCAATACCTACTATCATAAAGAGAATTTATGCGTCTTTACTCCAAAAAAAGGCGGTAATTCTCAAGATACAGGTATGGCCCAAAGCGTGAATATCACAATGTACAATCGACTCATAACAAATGGACATGCCGCAGTTTCACTCAAAGCGCATCGTGGTCAGTTTACTGCAATTGAGATGAATGAAATCGATGGAACCGGTAAAGTTTCACCCATACTTCCCAGCAAACGACTGACGTCAGCTCCCGAGATAACAATTTGGGAAAAACATTTACAAAGAACAACCGTTCAAATTGAGGTCAAATTAATGTTTCAAGTTAGTCGAACATGGCCATATGCATGGTTTCAGTATGCTGAATTAAGCATTCATCTGTGGTTCCCATAATTAGTGTTGACAACTTCTTTTTGCTTCAGCAAACAGTTGATGCAATTTTACAATAAAGGACAGGAGCACATAAGAATGTGATTTAGTGCATAGGACTTTTTCACATCGAATCCATCACAAACATATATACAATACAAGAACTTTGATGATCAAGTACTTTGATACGAGATTTCAGCTAAAGTTCACCGATAATTGAAGATTACCTCAATCATATATTGATCATGTAGATATATGAAAGATGTTAAACTTATTTCATAAGCGCTTATCAAAGATGTTATTGAAATAAAAAGGCTTTTGGCAAATTAATTATTTTCATTTTTGTTTCAGCCATTAAAAATTTTATTGAAAACAAAAAAGATTTTGAGACATTAATTGTTTTCATTTCAAGGCGCCTATAATATAAAATAAACAAAGTACCTGAAACGAAACTCTCTGGTGGGTGTGTTGAAGAAAAGAAGACACATCTACATCCATGCTCATACTCACACAGCTACATCCAAGGGAGAGAAAGCGGATCCTTGATCCTCAGATTCTGTGGATCCTGTAGACTCTGTGGACTCTGATGGATCCTAATAGATCCTGATAGAATCTGGGTGTGGGTGGGTGTGGGTGTGTGTGTGGATGTTGATGTGGGTGTGTATTTCACCTCTTTATGCACATCCACATCCACACTCACAGGCATCCACACTCATACCCACCCACACCCACACCCACACGCGACACTCACACCCACCCACACCCACACCCACGCCCACACCAACACCCACATCCACACCCACACCCACACCCACCCACACCCACACCCACACCCACCCAC